CACTGACATATACTGCAGAACACACAGGGGGAGAAAAAAATAAATTAACCAGAAAAAAAAATAAAAAAAAAAAATCAAGCATGCTTTATTTTCCAGACCCAAATGCTTAAACTTCATCCATTATGACAGAAAGTAAAACATATGTAAGGACTTTCATTAAAACATAGCATACGGTATAAATAAGGCTTAGAAGCTTGATATTTGCTACTATTTCAAGGATAGGAAAATTAATCTATATTGGCTGAAATTTCCATTTCACAATGGATGTTTTCAGGTATGCACAGATAAACTTTCCTATCCTACATCATGCTGCTCTCCACCAATACCTTACAGTAGAATGGGAGGCCTGCAGAAGTCTTCTGCCGAAGGAAAAAAACAAAAAGTCATGAATTAAAAACAAACATGCAGGACTGGTAAACATATGGCTCATCAGAAAGTACCAACGTAAGTGTGGACAACTCTACCCTAAGGTTAACAGTTTCTATAGGAGACACTTATTACCAAGAGAAGATTTCATTCATTTAGGAAATTAATGTCAACTCATGGCAAGAAGTAACAGATCTAGTCCCACTGTCACGCCCTCTCACATAGGTCGATTCCCTAAACAAATACTTAATGTTGGCAATGCACATGACCTTTCTTGAACACATCCAGATCACTGTCTGACATTTTGCTTTGGCACTTTCATATACCCACTCAAACTATCCTTAGGGAAACTCAAGGCTATTTTTTCACTAATTTAGCACATGCTGGACCATCAACTTTTAACAGAATGTTATTGACTTCTCCTTTGGTGCCCTGGAGAGAGGATTATCTAGCAGTAGCAGAGTTCTGGAAAAAAATAATGCATCTGAAGGTCTTGGTTCATCAAATTGCATTGCAATACCCTCCTTCAGCAAGCAGCATCTCTAGTTTCCAGTCTTTGTAATAAACCAGAGGAAAGGAAAGACACGTTGCGTGACTTCACAGTCTTGTGAAACTCCACATCACATACCAAGTGCTGGTAAACAACAAGACCAGTGAAGATTTTCCACTGTCCTTGTCATACTGTTTTCTTTTTATCAACAGACAACAAGTCTATCTTTAAAGGAGTTAGCTGCTGGTTGAACTGGAAAACCTCAAGTCTATCAGGTTGATTTGATGTTCTTCTCTGCCTTGGTGGCACCGCACACAAGAACAGGACATAGCAATTGCTCCGAGTCAGGGCTGGTAAATTCTTCCTGAGAGTAGGCATACTCTTAATACACCCATTACTACAATTGGAAGCAGTCTCTTCATCTAGGATCAGCACTTTGACACTTAAATGGGCTACATGCAATCTGAATGGGAGTGAAGACTCCACAGTTGGAAACGGATCAAAAAAGTCTACACTTCCAAGAGGCTTCAGTAAAAACTGCATTTCTTCTGTCTTGGAGCATTTTTTTGGTACGGTCATCCATTTCAAAATCCTTCAGAAGAAAGGCATTTTGACAGTCAGCCCTGGTTTGAGGGTGCATACCAAAATCAGCTTCCCTAATAAGGTTGCCTGCATTTGTTCCAAGCTTAAGATGCTCAATAAACTATTTAACCCAAAAGAAAGAGAAATTGAATACCAACAAATACCTGTAAAGAAGTCAAAGGAATTTTCCTCCCCTCCCGCTTTGAATTAATTAGGTAGCTCTCAAAAAATCACGCAGAATTAAATAACTGAAAGGAGAACATTGTTTGTCCTCAAGTCTTGCAGATATACAGTAACAGCTGATTAAAGACATGGCAATAACGGTGCTCTCATAAGAAGCTTTCACCAGCAATGTGCTAGAAAGCCTCAGTCTTTACACTGCCATGCAAAGCCTGAATGAGAGGCAGTTAACATCTGTATTATTTTCTCTAGTAACTGAAAAAAACCCGAGGACTTTAAGTGAAGTTTTTCCATTCAGCTTTACTGGACTCACTTTTCCCATTAGATCTCTCTCTACCTCATGAAGATAGCCAGGAACGCATTCTGCTCAAATTTCTGATACTAAAGACTCCATACACCTATGGGGTAAAAAAAAGAAATTCCCATTCTCCTTCCCTCACCATGAAGGAAAATACAGTCTAGTGATTTTTAAGCTGAGAAACATACTTGCAAGGGTTATGTCAAATGAGAGTGCATATTTAATGCTTGTTCAAATTTTATTGACCTAATGCCATTGAAAAGCTTTTTAATGGCTAAGATGATGCCTGAGTAGACCCAGTTACTTCTGAAGAAAACATGTAATAAGAAAGATTCTTTGGAAAAGTGGCTCCTAGGAAAAGTAATCAGATTTCTCTCCAGCAAGACAAGATTAAACTTTGCCTGCAATCTGCTGAGATTTCTTGCATTGCAAAACTGAGATTGGTGTAGAAAGTGAACAAAACCCTGTGTGTGGCTCAAGCACAAAAAAATAAATGTCCTGTCCCAGGAAACTTATAACTGTGTTAAAAGCCAAAAGAAGGGAAAGTTTCAGATAGACCAACAAGGAGAACATACGGAAACGCAGAGAAAAATGACACTTTACTGAAATTGCAACTTCTGCAACAATTATAATCATGACATGTGATGATAATACATCCCATCTGCTCTTACCCAAGCAAGTGCTCTGTAAATAATCTGTAGGCTACCTACAAGAAAACATCTCCTGCCTGCTAGCGTGCCAGGGATGCTTCAGCACACTAGGTTCAACAAAACCTGGACAAGTGCACCCCTGGCCACAGCTGTGAGTTCATAAATACAAAAGGCAGGGAAGACTGATCATGGGAACAATTTTAGAACCATTCAGATCAAGGTGATAAGCAGAGTTCACAGCAGTCTAATTAGTATGGAGGAATATGCAGCAGATTTTCACTTCTAGTTTGAGAGTTCAATTCTGAAATACCAGAGAGAACAGACAGGACTCCAAGAATGCTCAGGGCATTTAAAATAGCAAAAGATATTTGAAATAACTGCCCTGTCCACATGAGCTTTTTGTGGGTTTCTCAAAAATGACTGTGTCCCATGAACCCAGAATTCCTTCTTCTGTGACAGTCATTTGGGCAAGAAAAAGCTGTTTCCCTGAAGATGTCAAAACAAGTTATAAGTAAGGATGCAAATGTCTAGAACTCAAGTTGTGTGTTACACATAGGTGAGATACAGCCCTGAAGGTCCCTTACCACACTCTAATGTGTTGATGGTATCAGCAGTGTTTCGGGTGCCTTCATCTGAGATTCACAGGGAACAAAAGGTAGAGCAAAAGAACCATCTGAACGCCATTCTCTACAAGCAAGAGACTCACAATATTTTACATTCAGCACAATGCCTTTCTGGTTTCACTCCCTTTATCAGAAGGGGGGATCTTTTTTCATCAAAGATTTTGATCCCTATCCTGGCTGCCTGCAAACAAATCTGCAACATTCCCACCCGGATTAGCACTGTATTGTCTAAATACAACAAACTTCCTAGCAGAAGAAGGGAGGCTTTTACTTTGTCCATCTTCCTTAGCCTGCTCCACTGGTTGCTGCAGCTTCTGCCTCTACAGGCTTCAAGACCTTCAGGAAGAGAAAGGAACCTTGCGTGCAGCAAACACAGCTTAGCTAGGAAATATTGAGCCAAGCTGTTCATCTACAAATCAAACCTGAATTTTGCTCAAAAGAGCATCTAGCAAAATTCTAAGTGACATGAAAGAAATTAAATTAAATAGAAATAAATGGCAGGAACACACAAGGCAGAATGGAACTGCTCCCAGCCAGCCAAATGATCATGGTATCTCACCTGTGAGAAACAACCTAATCAATGTTACACTTTATCTGTGGGAAACAAGAAAAAAAATAATCACAAAACAATCTCCAATCTACTAAAGAAGTAATCACCACTATGAAACATCACCCCAAGCACTGCCACACTTCTCAGACTAGTTAGGAATCTCTGGTTTTGAGCTTTTATAAAAGCATATGAATACGTGGTGTCACTATAACGTACGTGAGATAAGAGAAACTGTCAAATTAAGTTAAAAAAAGATCATGACAGAAGAACAAGAGGGACCAATTTTTTCTTTTATATTCCAAATTTTAAAAGTGAAGTTATTTTTTTTAAAAGGAAAAAGTTGAAAAACTTCTGGAAAAAAAATATTTCTGACTTGAAACTCCCATTTAAACACACACAAACTCTCCCTGTCTGACAGCAGCTAACTATTAGGAGTATCAAAACGTTTCAAAAGGTCTGAAGAAGCCATTAGGGAATAGCCAAGAGTAAGCCTTCTGGTAAATGAGGAGGAAAAAGAAACAGGAAAGAAAACATTTTCCTCATCACAGAAGCCAGCTATAACTTATCCATCGATCTAATACACTATGAGAAACAAAGAAAATTCCCTTGGCTGGGTTCTGCTCACAGCACTGTCAGGTGCAGTGTCCCCATCGCGCCTGCCTGGAGCTTTGCCTCTTCCACTGACCGAAGAGGGACTTCTTCGCCACATAAAAACTGAGACTATATGCTACAATATTCCCTTAATCTCAGATGATTATTTTTTGCTTGGATTTTTTGCACTCAGATAATTCAGGTAAAGAGTCTGTACGTGGATATTAACATACGTGAGTATAGTTTAAGAAATTACCAAACATTTCTCACCAATCAAGGTGAGAGTGGCACTAATGAAAAGCATAAAAGGTCTCCGTGTGTAAAGACAGCACTTTGTCTGACATTTATGATTTTTAAAAATTGTTTCACACATAGGAGAGTGATGTAATGTCTTCTGTGTTTAAAGCAGCAAAAGATATGAGGGGACAGAGAATCCTCAAATTGCTGGAAGCTGGTTAAACCATAATGAAAAAAATTCAAATTAACTGTCACATTTTAAACATCAGGATTATTTAGGAACAATTACACTCTATTCTGAAAAATAAATGGTTATTCCCATTCCATGAAGAGCTGATCCTACCTCTAAGAAGGCCCTGAATAAAGCTCACCTGAAACGGTGTCATACAAAGCTGTAACCGATAGCAGTATTCAGTGCACCAGAGGAACCAGCAACAGAGGAACATGACCTAAAGACGTTTTTCTGAACACCTCCATAAGTCATTCTTTCATGTGACTGAAGCATAAAGTGAGCAACAGAGCAACACATTGGCCCAACTATGTGGGCTATAGCCATTTTTCTACAAGAATATATGAAGTCCTCTTGAGCAAGGACTGCAGTACACCAAGTCCTTACAGAGCCTCTCATAGGTTAGAAGCTTTTGCACACAGCAAAGTCTTGGATGAGCTGATGTTTTAAATCCTACAGAGGGAAAAAAAGATTACTCAGCCGGACTAGTATAATCCACTAAGCATAACACTTAAACAAGTCTCAACAGACTTTTTCCTCTCAACAGTTCTGACTTCACCATTAATTTGGCCTTCTGTGTATATCAGAGTAAAAACTGGTGAAAAGGAACCTTTCTAATGACCTGCCCTTTCTACACTGGTGTTCAGAAAGAAACAGATCCAGAGTCAGCAGATAAAACAAAGCAGTGCTTTAAGGTTTCTAAGTAATAAAGTGATTTAAAATGGAGTATAAAAATAGTCAGAAGAGGAAAACAAGGTTCTAAGTGCCCTTCGAGTAACTGGGACATGGCCTTTTTTAACAGAATAAAATAGTATGGCAGTTCTCCATGTCCAAAACATCAGTTAAACAAAGAATCACCTGAGATTATCAGCACCATTCCACCTTCAAAAAAATAATTCTTAGTTGACATCTCAGAAAATTTTTGGAAGTGAAAACAAGGGACCAAAAGAACTGAAGCAGAAGAGAGACTGCGTTTTTGCAACTCTTCATATTCCCCTCAAAGGTGAGCAAATGAACAGAGAAAAAGTACTGCGTACCTCATGTAGAGAAAGGGTTCCTTCATCTTCCCTCCAAGACACCGTACATAAGACACGTTTGCCTCTTTCAGATGAAAGAAGGGAGACAAACCAAACGTGCAGTTCTGAACAGACAAGTCCTGCTGAGGAAAGGTAAGCCAAGAGAAGAAAGTCCCTCTAACACTTCTCTAGCATCAAGACTGGCAAGTACTGAAGATGCAGCACAGACAACTGGCTCTGAGGCTCCCTGAGACAACCTTCTTCTAACCAAAACTGCTGTTATCCTAGGTAGGCAGAACAGAAGATAGTCCTGCCTACAAATTAGAAAGCAGGGTCCTACAGAAACTGCATCTTTTTTTTATGAAGAAGGGAAAGTCTGAGCTCTCACTCTGGCCACATCCCAAGAGGAGTCACAAAGCACGTCCCAAAAAGTTTTATATTAGTATTTTCACTTCCATTGTCTTTTAGCTCCCTGAACAATTTTCTTCTTTTTTAGTGCACCTTACTAAATAGCTCCTTCAGTTAACATTTCTTGAGCTTTCCTTCAACACTTCTTGGTCTTTACACAAAACTAAAAAAAGTGTATTACTTTAAGAACCAAAACCTGATCAGATATTTTAATAAATTAGCATTAGCTTATTCCTCAGAATTATATCCTTGTATTGCCATGCAGCACACTCTCTTACTATTATTGTAATGCAACAGTTACAGAAATAATCTCTACATAAATAAAATAAAGAAGTAAAATCTACCTTGTAAAATAAAAAAATTAAAATGAAAGTTCACAGAGTAATTGGCCTAAAGTCATTTCACATTAGGTTCTAAGTTCAAAAGTCTTAAAAGCTGCCTTCAGCACATACCATTCTATAAATAAGTTCTGTGTTACAGTGCCAAATGCACTCCTACTTCTGAAGTTAGGCGGCCTATTATTATTAGTTTGACCTATCACTGTTCCTTGAATTCGGATGTGTACTTTAGAACTATACAGTATATGCTCGTTAGAGAGCTGTAAAACAAATGACTGCACTAAACAACAGTAGATGATAAAATCATACAAAATATATTAACTGGGAATTTTGAATATGTAACATGACGCCCTGACTTTCTAGGAGTTTTGAATAAACAGCAATGGCCTAGTATTAAGAAGCATGGTGTACTAAGTTAGACCTAAAAGGATGCTTTTTCGCTATACCTGTAAAAGGCAGGTCGGGAAAAAACACCCAGCATCCAAGCTAACACTGCTCATACTGCCAAAGTGTGCATTTTAAAGGAATACAGTATTTGTTGGCATATTATTTTCTACGGGATACTTTTTCTTAAGTCTTTCTTCTATTAGTTCTCCTTTCCTTTATGGGTTCGGTATCATTTCATCTCTTTTTGATGCATATGCAATACTTTGACTGCATATACTGATCGCTTTTCTGTTCTCTCTCTCCTTCCACTTCTGTTTCCTTACCTCCTCACTAAGACCTTCACACCTCACACACAGTGCTTTTCTTTGATATCTTACCATTCCCCAGGTCCCCATCTTCCTGCCTCCCCAGCTGGAATTTCATCAGGAGTTCCTACTATGAGGAAAACCAGTCAGATCAAATCAGCTTCTTTTAGTCTATGAAGCAAGTGTAAAAATGAAGTGCAGCTCACACCCTTTGACCAGACCAAAAATAAAGATCAGACAAATGGCATCACCTTTTGTCCGACTGTTCTGTGCTTCTGGTTTTGGCCTCGTTTCCGTATGAATAGTTATAGTGCCTGATTGTACTATACATACAACCTAAAGCATGCAGAGAGAAGAAAGAGTTTATGGCTACTTGAAGCAGGATGATACAGCAACCATGAATCCTCAGCCTCTTCTATACAATTTGCTTTTCTTATTGGAGAAAAAGAAGAACTCAGAACTGCCATTTCAAAAGTTATTTTTGTACATACATAATTATTGCTCATAAAAATTCCAAAACAAAAACCATCTTACACAAATTAAATCTGATATTAGGATCTGCATTAATTTGTACAAAAAAAATCAAAATCTCTGAAGTTGCTATAAAAACATGTCACACGCAGAAATAAAGAACATGTTAGTGGGTCAAATACAAAACAGAGAAATACTATGGAGTAAAGTTTGCTAAACAGCATTATTCATAGCATTTAACATCTTACATGAAAGCATGAGGAGAAAAAAAAAAAATTACCTTACTTCAGCTGGTGGATTTTGTGAGTAAGGATTTGCAGAGCACGCCAAAATCCTGACTACAGCTCCAGGATGATAAGTTTCCAGAATGTGCACTGCAGTGGGATAAACTGGTTCCTCAAAAGCGAGTTCCACGTAGTCCTGGCTACAGAAGGTGGGTGGTGTCCTCTTGAAGGGCAGCCGAGCGCTTGGGCAACGATCCCACCAGGTCCCGTAAGTTCGAAAGACGGCAGTCTGAGTAAAGTCACCAGAACTAGGGTACACGTTTGGAATACCTGCTAAATTCCACATGGTATACGACATGCTGTTTTCACTACCATAGTGAGAGCTGAAATCCAACACTTCTTTGGCATACTGAACTATTTCAACATTGATAGGTAAGGCTCGGGTGTTTGATTCAATAGCCCTCCGGCTGTTCATTTCTCCTCTCGTCGCTGTCCTAGCTCGGCGCCGAAGGCACATATAGTAAAACATGCTCAGAACTGTTAACATGGGAAACACCGGTGGCATCTAGATATGACTTGGAAAGATGCAAAAGGTCAGGAGTCCTTTATAAGGTGCATTAACTGCTTGTGGTGTTTTGGAAAAGAGCTGATAAAAGAGAATGAATAAACACAGTGAGCAGATAAAACATTCGTAGAAAGCAAACTGTACTCTTTCTAATATCCTCTTAAACAAAGTACTGCTACTAAAACATTAATAAATAATTGTCTTAAAATAAAATGTAATAGTTTAATTGGAGGCTACTAAGTGTGGCTTTCCATTCACTGTGTTTAAAAAAAAGAAAAGACCGGGAAGAAACATTAGCCAAAACTAGCCCTCAAGCAACAAAAAGACTTGGTTAAATTAAGTACTATTTTCAGGGATTTATTAAGAGAAAAAAATCTTGCACTGACTTATGGAAATGAAATCAAGTACGAAATGAAACCTAGCCCTTGTAGTACTGTAGAAGAATATCTGAAGGTACAGCTAAAATCATTCGTAGTTTCAGTATTTCAAAACGATACTAAAACTGACTTCTAAACAAAGTGGTCAGGACCTAGTCATGCTGCAGCAGTATACAGCTCAACAAAACCCAAGTTACTTCACTGCTTATACTTTACAGTAAGACTGCTCCCAGACCCAAATTAGTTCATTTAAAGCTAGCTCAAGTATATCTATATTATAGTATTATCTGGAGAGTAAATACACCCTTCAAAGACAGCTCATATAGAAAGTTGGACAGCTACTCCAGTGAACTGTTTCTTGTTTCCTCTAATTTGTTCCCAGTTTGTGAATGGTTTTAAGAGTGAAAAGAGTGAGCTTTGGGCAGTTAATCTAAACCAAAATCTTAACTCACTGCTTCCTGTATCAGACCACTAGCCTGAAACAGACTCACAAAAATACTGTCTTTACCCTTTTAAGTTATCCATGACAGCACTCATCAATGAAAGAAGGGTCACCAGCCTGCTGAAGGATGCCCAGAATTCATTAACGACATCATCTTCCTTTAAGCCAAGCAACAAAGTAAGTCTTCAAGAGAGTCCTGGCATCAGAAGCAGAAGTCCCCATAGAAAGCATTTTACTTCTGAGAAGAGAAAAAATTTTCATTCATGTAACAATTCAGTTAAACACAAAATGCACTAGATCTGCATACTGCCAGGCCACCTAAAAAATCAACACGAAACATACTAATAATTAAAGATACTGATGCATTTTACACAGCATACACCAAATCACAAGTAAAATAAACAAGCAGGTTTAACAATTAGAAAAAGCCAAATTAAAGGTAAGTCTCTCTAGAAAAGTTTCCTATTTACAACAGCAAAGAAATATTTATAGCTGAATGTTGTCTTCAGGACACAGAAGGGCTGTATCATATTCCCTGCTAATAAAGATCCTTTTACATATGCTTATCCCCTATTTAGCAGCCGCGCCATACCTGTGTGGTGTAAACCCTTAGATTTACTAACACACAACAAACCGTGGAACGTATTCTCTGATTTCTGCTAGCAGCACACAACACACTTGGGCAGTAACACAGCACCCCAGAATTCACATCCTCCAGTACCACAAACTGTTTCTCACAAGCTGGCCTTCCGATTAACTTGTTCACCAGCTTTACTCGGACAGAATAAGGAGTAATGCCCGTACCCTGTTAGAGGCCAAACCAGGGATGACTAAGCGTGTCTCAAAATAGAATAAATGTTTCTTCAACTGCCTGTACTGGGGTTGCCAGTTAGTTTACCACAGGATACACACCGTGGTAATCACTGACCTGGCAGAAGTGACTCTTCTATTGCAGAAGACACATCAAACAACAACTAACATGATGCCTCACATTGCCTGGCGGACAAACCACATATTTAATGCTTGCAATGGGTACAAGCGAGACCATACTTTCATAGTTTTCAGAAGCATAAGCTTAAAGTAGGCTAAGTAATTAAACAGAGACAGATCAAAGTGACTTTTGTATTCCTCTATACAAATCCACTGTGCATTTCTTGTGTAAACTGCTTGTTTCCCACACTCATAAAACGCACGTAGATGTACAAACAGCTCTCTCTCGCTTCAACGTTGCCAACGAGAAGGCGCTTGTGGTAACAGATAAGGACAGGCCGCGCTATTTGACCCTCTTACTCACGATGGCGAGAAAGTTTACTAACGAAGTGTTCACTTCTCACTCAGTTGCCTCTTCTATTATTAGCTTTTTGTTTAGTTCCTGTCCTTCATTCAGTTTCACATGTTGACATAGCTGTCAACAACATGAATTACTCCTGACATTCGGTGCAGAAGGGAATGCATAAAATGATATGCTGGATCCACTTCAAGCTCTCCTGGAATGCCAAAACCCAATAATGTCACATTTCCCCCAAACATCCTGTTGAACCACCTTTTAGAAAAGGCACTGGGGAAAAAAAAGCAGCGCAACCCCCAATCCCTCCTCCGAAAAAAAAAAAAAAACCAGCCAAAAAGCCAAACAAGAAAAACAACTCCAAACTGAAAATGGTTATTTTATCTTTTCAGCACGGAGCTGCTGCAAGATGTAAGTGAAGATTACAAATCCAGTCTCCTTCTGGATTTTTCCCTCTTTAAAGGAAAAATCTATTTAGAGAATATGCAAACAGACGTTAAACTTCAACAAACTTACTGCTGTCAAGGCCTGGAATCCTATGCAGACTAGCATAGACCAGCTTCTAACTCAAAATTTCACCTATTAACACGGTTTGAAGGCTGCTCCATGGAAATTATGGCTTTACAGAGCTCAATTTTAAGAACGATTCAGCTGGGGTACTTCAAGATCAGTTGCGAATCACTTATCTCGCATGTGCATCCTGCGCGGCTGCACGTCTGCACTGCAGACTCCGGGCTTCCCCCGGCCACAGCCCAGAGCTCCGACAGCCTTGTTGTAAAACCCAGCTGTGCTCCCTGTCAGCTCATCGAAGAGCAGCAATACCCACCGGCTGGTTCAGAGCTGTACATCCACTAGCTGGCCAGTTTAAGCCAGGTCTAACAGGGCAGAGAACTTGAAATCATACTGCAGATTTTCCATTAGCAGATACATTAATTTGGGTCATTCCCCCTCTACCAACTTGGGTGATTTTCATAAAAACCTATAAAAATTTGGCACCCTTGACGCTGACGCCACTGTCAGTTTTGCCTGATGTTGGTCAACAGGCTCAAAAGTCAAGTAGGAAGAAACAGGGAAAAGCATGCAGCTTCCATAAAAATGCGTTAGCCTAAACAGTACAAGTGGAGGTAAATTACTTCCAAAGAGTTAAAAGCAATGTAGGATTTAGTAGTTTATAACAAGTAAGAGGAAACAGAAAACTATTATAAAAGAGGGATAAATAAGCATTAGGACTACAATACAAATAGGAACTATTCTTTTGGCATTTTAAAAGAATCATTAAGAACTGTGTGGAGTTAAAAGACCAATGGAAAATTGCTCAGGAGGTTAAAGGATAATAAGCTAGTGAAAGAATTACATTAAATACAGATCAGCAGGGCCAGATGATATAAAGAGATTTTTCAGGAACTACCACAGGTCAAGCTGATTTCCAATTAAAAGGATTTAATGGGGAGGGGGGGGGGCGGGGAGGAAGATAAAAATGCAGACTCAGGCCTATGCAAAGCATCAAGATAAACAGCTCCGGAGCAGAGCAGTTCACATACATGCAAAGTTTATGTGGAAAATTCCCCCCTCCCCCAAACTGCTTGATTATTTTTAAGAGATCCATTCGGGCCTATGTAACTGTACCTTCCAATCTCCGGCAGCATCTTTGGCCTGTTGCGTATTATTCATTTCCTTTCGTACAGGCATAATTATGCCAATCTGAAGCTTAATAAAGGTTTCTTTTAAACGTATCTTATTATCCTCCTCCCAAGCAGCAGCCTTCTACTTCTTTTATTTGGTTTCTTGCATAATTTTTTCTGTCAAGGCACCATTAAATGGACTAAAATGGCACTATTAAGTACCGGGACCTTCAGCGCCCACCACAAACAAACACAGAGAGGGTGTCAATGGTTCGGTTAGAAACAAAAAGCAATCCACTATGAGCGCGCAGTGACGTTGTGAGGTGCCGTCCTATGCCAACCTGCCCATTTTGCACTTCCAGACTGGATCCCATCCCCAGCCTCTCTCGGGGCTGCCTGAGCTCTGCCCTCCCATCTCATGCCCCGCACAGACCCATCCCTCTCCGCTCCACAGCCACCGCTCCGGCCGGCACCGCCGGGGAGCCAGATGACTCCCGGGGCTCACCCAGCCAGACACCAACCCCTCCTGCAAGCAAGTGCAGTTTTCCAGCCCGTTCGCCGCCCCAAAGCAACACGTTGCCCGTTAACATGAAGTCAGCGCCGGCTCAAGCGGGCAGTAAGGCTGCAAGACCCCCAGGCCAGACCGGCTCTAAAGGGCCATGGGAATGCGACCTCTAGTTTTACAAGACAAGACAGGACTGCAGACAACCAGATTGGACTAGGCCTGGAATAAAACTTCCCTAAGAGAGAGAGAGATATGCTACCTTCTTTCAAAATACATTAGAGCCCATCACATTATTTACAATCCTTCCTGTTCAGATCATTATTTAGTTGACAACTATTTCAATTATACGGACAAATTCCCTTTTCCTATTACGATTAATCCTTCCTCCCTTCATGCTATACATACAGAAAGCCTTCTAAGACTCTAATTCACTATTTCCTTCTTTCAAACACAACAAACCTTGACAAAGGAACATGTCTTATGGTTTCTTGTACAGATTTCATGGGAACAGGCACTAATTTAACTAAAGCATTCAAAAGCACTAGATCTCTTCAGTCTGTTTTGCCTCTTTTTACAGGGAGTTTATGTACACAAATCGGTTTTCCAGCGTCCAAGCAAGCCGTCCTGTTAATGACTATTGTACCAATTCATTTTGGTTGTTTTTGCAAATGCAGCTCCCCAGTATTCACAGTTTCATCCCATGACAGCAGAAGCAGGACACAGTCACATAGTTATTCACCAACCAGCCTGCTGAGAAAAGGTAGGGAAATACACAGAAGAATACTGGGGATCTGGAGGGGCTGCAAAGTGAAGGACGTGTGTAAAAACGGAACAAGTAACAGATATTAGGCACAGAAAAAAGGCGTATTTCATCCCTGAGCCTTCCCTGGCAATGCATGTGTTAGACAAGAGTTCGTACTGTTTCAAGAGAAGCAAATGTTGCGTATACAAGTCATGTAAACGCCAAGTTTGATTTTTAAAGCCAGAGAGGTAGTAATTCCTCTTTACACCAGCTTTGCTAATCTCACACTTGGGAGTACTGCGCGGAGTTTTCTTTCATTTGACTATAAAAGAAACAGCAACATTGACAAATTACAAAGAACGTATAAGTGACAAAAACAATAGACTGCATTATCTCTGAAGAAAGATTAATGCAGTTTAATACATGCGTCTGATAAAAGATGGTAAATGGGCAATCTCTTAATGATCTTTGCATGTTAACGCACAGAGGGAATACTGGAACCTTACATTATAGGCTAAAACAGCGTATTTTTTCCACAGGTTAGCATCTCTCGCTGTTAATTACCTAGATTGTACCAACATCTATGCTCAACTTGTTGAAACTAGAAGCTAATATTAATTAAAAATTAATAAGTTCTTACAGCATACTTCAAACTTGGGCCCCACTTGCTGTGTTTCTTCCTGTAATGTGTTCTGGCACTAAAAACGGCCATTTTAAATATTTACAGTTTGGGGGGGGGGAAAAAAAAAGGAACATTACTACAATTCTGTCTATTTAAAATGTTGCTTGTATTTGCTGTCACGAGCATCAAAACATGCAAAATCCAAGACTTTCAGGTCATTTCATTGACTGTTCCCTCCTGCTAGGACCAGAACTCACTGCGTGGTTTAGCATGGCAGCATCACGGAGACAAATGTTCTTCAGGCATCCATTACAGGGCCCAGGTGACCACCCTGCCTTCTGGAGGGTGTCTTCACATATAACAGAAGCTGTTTCTCACTATGTGCAAATCATCAGGTAGCCCCTTTTAAACGTGACTCATTCTACACAAAGCTTACAGTCACCTGTGTTACACCACTTCATTTTGAACAACTGCCCTTCTGGCTACAGTGAAATTCTCCTCCTCATACCAAAAAAAAATAAATTTATCCCCATTCCATACTACTTTCAGTAAGCAATTCAGGCGCATTCGCCTTTTCACTGTCCCCTTCACAACGTTGTACCACCTCTCCGTGCAGTCGCGTTCCGTACAGCAGTTACTGGCTGGCCCCCTGCCTCCTCACCGCACCGATGGCAGCTATTAATTAGGCCACCCGCTTACCCCCCCGCTGCCCGCTCGTCAGCCTGCGCTGACCACCAATTAACAACTCACACTTCACCCGAAGTACACACCGAATAAATAAATAAATAAATAAATAAATCCATAGACAAGCATCTGAAGCGAAGCACCCCGAAGTACACACCGAATAAATAAATACATAAATAAATAAATAAATCCATAGACAAGCATCGCTAGTTGAGCTCCTACCCTGCTTCTGCTGTGTTGTGATGGGGCAAGTGGGGTGACAAGGTGTAATTCGGGTAACGCCGCA